CGTCGCCGGCTCCGGGTGCGCGCAGCGCCGGGGCCCCGGGAGCCCGGCCCCGTCCCTCCCCCGCCCCGCCTCGCTCGCCTCCTGCCCCTCCGCTCCTTCCCTTTCTTTGCCCTCACCACGTCCTCCTCCTCCTCGCTTCGCTCCAAACCCCGCCCCGAGCAAGCAAATAAATCTATCAAGGCAGGGCGCGCCTTAATAGGTGAGTCGTCAGAACCTTGGGAGAGAGCAGCCGCCTCCCAGCCCCGCGGGATCCCAGGGGACCCGGTGAGGGGTGCGCAGCCGGCGATGGCAACCTCCGCTCCAGGAGCGTTTCCTACGTGCCGAGTACCGTGCTGACACCTTTCCCCGGGCATTCTCCCTTTTAATCCTAGCACCGACCCTAAGGCTGTTGGAAATCCATTCTGCCGGTGATGTAAATGAGCCCGGGGCGGCTCTTTTGTGACACAAGTAAGCAACAGGCCTGGGATTGGAATCCAGGCTCCTGAGTCTGGGCGCCGAGCAGCAGAGTTCTCCTCTCCCCCTCTAAGCGAGGCTGCTCCAGTCGTGCGCCACCCGTCTGGCCGCGCCCGCAAGGTCCAGTCACCTTCTTCCCAGACAGTCTTGTCTTGGCAGGCCCCGCTTCCCACCCCGCCCGCCTCAGCCCCTGGGCCCGCGCCCGAGGAGACTCCTTCTTGGGCAGCAGCAGCCGGGCAGGGGTCTCCAAAGCGGCAGTGGCACGTGCGTCCCACGCCTTCGAGACAAATATTTTACCCTGGCCAGATGCCACGCCCGCTTCTCGGCCTCCCGCTTCCCGCAGCCTTCCTCCTCCTAGTTTGTCCCCCACATCCGCCCCCTGCTCCCTTCCCGGAGCCTCGCGGGGGAGCCGGAGGCAGGCGGAGACTCGCCCCAAGCCTCTGGAGCCCTGGGGACCCTGCGTCTGTCTGGTTTCCTGCCATATCCTCGGCACCTATCACACTGCCTGCTTGGTATGTAGTAGAAGCTCAGTAAACATTTGCTAAATAAATGAATGGATATTCATTGAATGCACGCTTTGCGCCCATTGGTGCTGGGAGGGAGGACCCAAAATTGAAAGGCACGGGACCTGTCCTCTAGCTCACGGTCTCTGAAAAGGCCAGGGGTCATGCCATGTTCATCTCTTCAGCACTCAGTCGGCTTCAACACATGAGTGGAAAACGTGAGGCTTGCAAGTGTTTAAAACAACTTGTAACAACTGGCAGCGAGGCGGGGCGCGTGGAGGCAGCAGGACACCCAAAAAAGCTTGTGTGTGGCAATGCGGGGAGGAGGCTGACCTCAGGGCATTAGAAGAAAGTCTCAAAGGACACTGAGTGCTCGGGTGGCTGGCAGCGGCCTGGGGAGGGCCGAGAGACAAAAGGGGCGTTGCCATCAATACTGACAGGCTTCTTTTCATCAGAGGTTTTGTAAGAACCGAGGCAGGAACGCCTACCACGGCAGGGGTGGAGGCGGTGTTGTCAGTCGCGGTACACCAGCGGTCGGTCACGTGGCAGAGATGGCGCAGCTTCGTGAGCCAGGGATGTGCACTTTGGCATAGTGTTCAGGAGCACAGCCAAAGCGCGGGGATCAACTCGTGGCTCTGCCATTTACTAGCTGTGGGACCTTGAACAAATTGCTTCACTTCTCTGTGCCACAGATATACCTGGTAAGTAAGTAAATATGGAGAGTGGGTCTGTTACCAACATCATTTCTCCATGTGAGAGACCATTACACGAGTGCAGAAAAGAAAAGAAAGAAAAGAAAAAGGAAATGAATAAAAAATAGACCTTCCATCTATATAACATCAAAAGAAAATGAAACATTTGATTCTCGTTAGAAATATGTAAATCAATTATTATTATCCCCATTTCATAGAAGACAAAACTAAGTCCTGGCAGCAAGTCAAACTTACAGGTCTGAAAGAATGCTTCATTTCCAACCCTACTGCCAAATTGTTTCTCCCTCAAGAAATAGCATCACCAGCTCATCCACTGGCTGAAAACCTTGGAGACTCCACGTCTCCTCTCTTTCTCATACACTCTATAGACGACCATCAGCAAATCCTGTCCGCTCTGCTTGCAAAATGCATCCAGAGCTTGACCACTTCTCCCTGCTGTGGTGCGGGTGCCCGAGTCACCATCATCACTATCTGGGCCACCGTTCTCGCTGGCCTACCTGCTTCCGATCTTGCTCCTCCTACTCCATGTTCTCTGCTCAGCAGCCAGGGGGATCCTTTAAAAGATAATTCAGGTCATGTTCTCCCGGGCTCGACACATACTAAGGAATTCTCATTGTGCTCAGAGTAAAGTCCAGTCCTCAGGATGCCCTGCAAGGCTCTAGCTGACCTAACCCCCAGCCTCACGTACCTCATGGCCACCCACGTTCTGCCATGCCCTGCGTTCCAGCACCCTGGCCTCCGCGTGTGCACTGCACGGACCGAGCTTGTTCTTGTCTCAGGGCTTTTGCACTCGCTGTTTTCTTTGCCTGACACCCTGTGCACCCTCCCCACCCCCCACCCCACGCTCCCATTCACATATTTCCACAGGGGTCACCGCTCACACTGCTCACTGTTCAAGCCTCTGCTCTCTTCAGATGGCCTTGCCTGACCATTGCATCTAAAATGACATCTATCGTGTTCTCATCCCTTTGTTTGGCTTTTTCTTTACCATGTCTGTCTCTGCCTCACATTATATTATATGCCTATTTATATGTTTATCATCCATTTGTCTCAACAGATTACAAACTCAGTGGGATCAGAAGTGTGTGTCTCATTTACTACTGAATCCCCAGCGCCTAAAATTGTACCTGTGCCTACTAGATGCTCAATATACATTTTTTGAGTGAATGCTTGTATATTGTGAAAACCATGGACTGTTATAGTTGATATTTATAAAGTCATCAGAACTGTGCCAATTGCTGTGTGCAAGAACAGTTTTGGCTCTGGAGATGTGAAGCCAAGTAGGACAGGGCCCCAGCTCTCAGGCTACTTGTGCCTGGTGACCTCCTGGTAGGGGACATGAATTGACTGTGGCAATATAGCATGAGGCACCATGGGAGGGGTCTGCATGGGTTGATTTGGGAGCAAAAGAGGCCTTTGACATCAGAATGGGAAGTCTAGGAAGACATGCAGAGGGAGAAGTGAGCTGGACCCAGGTTTTGAAAGACTTGCTGGAGTTAGTCAGAAAAAAGAAAAGAGATTCTTCTAGAAAGAGGGAAGTGATAAACAGGCTAACTCAAGGTAGAAGGGTCTGTGTGAAGGCCAGAACGTGAGGGAATCACTGTAAAATTTAAAGAAGAGAGTGTCTTTAAATTTAAATCAGATTGCTGCTTTAGAACCATCACAGCCCTGTGGAGGGCGGCTTGCAAGGGGCCACCAGACACAGCCCTGCGGGGAGACCACTGCGGAAACCCGGAGTGAAGGGAGGAGGATGGAACAAAGGTACCAGCTCTGGGAATGAAGATGCAGCCACAGATACACAGGGTAAGAAGGACACTTTATGAGATAACAAGGGGCAGAAATCTCCTGGGCCTGGCAGCTAACTGGGCATGGGGGCAGGGGTTTTGAATAGTAGTGGGATGACTTTCCAGGTTGGGGCTGGAAGAGAAGATGCGTCTTCACTGTGTCCTTGCTAGATGGTTAGGTCTTGCTTCATCCATCCTGGGCACGGGAGGATCATCTGAGAACACGTCTAGTGTGAGCCTTGAAAGCACCGCGCTTCTGCACAGGGCACCCTCAGGCTCTTCTGTGGGTTATTATTCACGTTCTTCATGCGAATCCCTCTTAAAACCTGGATCTTGAATCCCACCCAACACAATCTGACATTTTGACATTTTAAAACAATTCTGAAAATAAGCCTAAAAGTTTCTTTCCCCTCAATCTACAATTTAGCTGCCAATCTCTACTATGTACATTTGGGTGAAGATTTCAGGCCCACTTGAGTGTCATTTAAAATAATTGTCATGTGACTCCAATGTTTAGAACACTCTGAACCTTTTAGAAATAAAAATAGGATTCATTTATTTCCTTTATCTAGGATGATAATAAAATGGAATTTCTTCTCATATTAATTTAATTTAATTTAAAATATTTTTCACTGTAAAAATAAATTTATATGTGTTACAGAAATTTCAAAAAATAAAAGAAATCAGTCTTAATCTCTCTATTTTATAAAGTCACTATAAATAATTTGGTTTATTTGCATCCACAATTTCAGAAATATGTTAATATCTTAATAAAATATAGAAGAAAAGATTTTGCTATTTAGTTAGATTTGTTTATTGTTCTTTCTGACACAATGTGGAA